CGTGTGAAATTGGGCGGCTGCGACTGAGCACTGCTGGCTTCTCTGGGAGGACAGTGTGGTGGATCCCATTTCAGGTCTGGGTGGGGCTGCAGGCTTGGCACACCGATTGGGTTAGAACAGGCCTCACTCCATCTGGTTCCTTGGACGATCCTCGTCCCATCAGACCCCTTGAATCGCAGGGCCTCAGCACTACCAGCGGCCCGCACTCACCTGGTCGTGGATGTGGGCCAGCCCCGCCAGAATCTGGCGCAGCACCAGCCAGCGATCGGCGTCCTCCAGTGGCCCCGCATCCAGCACATCCCGCAGCGTCCTGCCCGGGCCAAGGGACATGGGTGGATGAGAGTAGGAACGGCGGCCCGCAGGGAGGCTGCTCTCGCATCGGGTGTCGCCACGCAGTCAGCCATCGCCCTGACCCCGAGGCTGGCTACCCAACCCCATTGCCCTGCCTCACTGGGTCCCTCTCATTCCCCGTCTGCACCCACCTGGTGCAGTACTCCATCTGGATGTAGAGGGTCTGGGGCACGCCGCCCGCCGCCACAGGCCCCGCCCAGGAGGACCCGGGCGACCCCGGCGCGAGCTCCGTGCCCTCGGACGCCGTGCTGGCCTCCCACCACTCCCTGGTCCGGGCGCCGGCGTCTGCCACACTGCCACGGTCCCCATGCGGGCCGTAGACCGCGCCGGGCGCGCTGCCGCCGAGGCTGGAGGGCAGGCTGGTGGAGGCGGTGCGCGCGCCGCCCTCGCGCGACCCCTCCGCCACCGCGGGAAGCGTGTGCAGCGGCGCGGCGGCCCGCCCCCCGCCGCCGCCACGCGCGCGCGGCGCCGTCGCGTCCGAGGAGTCCCAGGCGCCGGAGGCGTCCAGCGACCCGCCCCGCGCGCCGGTGCCGGTGCCGGCGCGTGCACCCCCGGCGCCCCCGGGCCCCCCCGCCTCCGTCCAGGCCTGGAAGTAGCGGACGACGTGCGGGTGCTGCAGGCGCGACAGCGTGGTCACCTCGCGCATGATGCGCGCGTGCGCGGCGGGGGCCTGCGCGTCCAGCGCGATGCGCTTGATGGCGTACACACGCCCGTCCATGCGGTTGGTGGCCGCCACCACCACGCCAAACGCGCCGCGGCCCAGCGTGCGCAGCTCCACGAAATCGGAGCGATAGCGCGAGGCGACGGGGCCCTGCCGGGGCGCGGCGCCGCCCGGGGCACCGCCCCTCGTGCCGCCGCGCCGCCAGAAGTCCTCGCCGCGCCCGCCGGCGCCGGAGGCGGACGCGGCGCGGGGCTCGGCGTCGGGCGGCCGCGTGCGCCGCGCGCGCTGCGCGACGCGGCGCAGCGCGGTGTCGAACAGGTCGGGGCGCTGGGTCAGCAGCCAGCCCACCCAGCGCGGGAGCAGGCCCTGGGACTGCAGCATGCCCAGCACGGAGGGCAGGGTCGGGGGCGATGATGTCAGCAGCAGGCCGCGTCAGCAGGTGCCCGATCAGCAGGTCCCGCGCCAGCTGGCGCCGCTCGCGCTCGCCATCGGCTGAGTCCGCGCCGCCCTCCTCCCCGCTCTCCTCGCTGGAGGCATCGGAGGCCGCGCCCTCGGCCCCTGCCAAGGCGTCAAGAGGGGGCTGTCATTGAGGATGCGGCACCGACCGCAGCGCAGGAAAGGTGGTGCAGCTTGCGCAGAGGCGTTGGGACGGCATCGTTTGGCCTACCGATTGTCGCAGCGCTGTCGCTCACATGCGGCGAGAGCGAGCAACCGCTGGCCTCCAGGCCCCGCCACCGAACAGTGAACCAATCATCCTGCGCCCCCCCTTAACCCCCCCCCCTCCTTTCCTCCCGGCCCCACCGTCGATGAGGTGGCGCAGCTGGCGGGGGAGCATGGCCCTGCCCAGGGCCGAGATGCCGGACCGCATCGCCGCCAGCATGCTGCCACCGCGCGAGCGTTCCGTGGCCGAGGAGGAGGACGGCTCCGAGGCCCTGCTCGCCATTCGGTGGTGTTGGGGCTGTGAGGGCGAGCCTGCACGGCTGGACGACGGCGCCGGTGGCCGCTGGTCCTGCTTCTCCGTCGCTAGCTGCTGCGACGGCAGCGGACCGCCCGCCTCTGGG